GATGAGCTGTTCCTTTAAAGACCCTGTGCCCTGACATTTCTTGTTTTTTTTGTGCATAGTGCATAAGATGGAGGAATCTTGGTTTAAATATCAGTCAAACCTTCAGGGAGGATTTTTTCACACATAGTGACGAGTGGCGCATGAGGTGGCCACACAATGCTTTCTCATTTCAGGGCATTTTAGCAGATTATAAATGAGAGTGTACTGGCGCTCTTTAGCTAAATGCCTGTAAGGGAGTGTGGGAGCAGGGTGGAGAGTGTGGAGAGGCACCTCTCTGTACCAAATCAGCTTCACTGGAGTGTCACTGAGGGCAGAAATTCAGAGCTTATATCCCTTAAAGATGTGTATTCCTGGCAGCCGGTGACTCCGATGTTGGAGAACCATGAGGAACTACGGGAGAGCCTAGTTTTTACCTGTTTTTTTGCTAATTAATTTGAAAAATATTTAAGTTGGAATAATCTTGTTTTTATACAAGCAATGTACACATCTCTGCTACAAAGGAACACTTGAACCTTGTTTTTTATCACCTGCAGTTCATTTACAATTCACCCAAAATGACGGGAAGTGCAGTGTTACAGTTTAGCCCATGGGTGGGTTCACTGTAACAGACAGAGAGTCAGTTTAACACCTGATACAAATGTCTGATGAATCAGTGCAAACAAAGTTAATTCAGTATAAGTCTATGTTGTAAGAAACAAATATATTATCCGACCGTTATATATTAAGACAGACAGATCAACTGATCTAATTACCTATGAACACTGATATGAAACTGTGTGTCAAACAATGACAGATTTATTTTTATCCAGTGAAGGAAAATAAAAACGTCACACATCAGTAAAATATGTAACATTGAGTCTGAATAACTACAGCTTTACCAGCTGTTACTGTCAATTTCATTAAAATACTGAACCAAAATACTGACATCTGAGTATTAAGATACTATTAAAGTAGTAGAAAATCCCTGTTTTTAGATGTTTTCTTATTTTCATCTTAAAATCTGTGTAAACATATGGAACAAAAAGACATAATTTACTTTATTAGCCTTTGTTTACTGAAGGTGTCTGAACTGTAACGCTGTGTAAGAACTAACCCCGCAGTACGGAGGCTGTATAAGCCCAGCTAGCGCTTACTGTGAGCTTGTCAGCTGCTTCAAAATGGTGCTGCGTTGTCGGAAACAAGATGGTGATTAAAGTGATATAAGGTTGTATGTTGTGATTTACACAAACAGCTCAGTAGCCGAAAAAAAACTTGTGTTGAAAAAACTGACTTACATGCCCTAAAAAAAAACCACTCTTTGGCACAGATCTATTTAAAACGCTGACGAATCACTCTAAATTTTGGTGGGAGGCTGCAGCTAGGAAAGGTGATAATGTGACCAGAAGCTCACGCTGCTTGACCTTGTATAACAACATAACATGTCTGTGCATTAACTTATTTGCACTTATTTGCACTAACAACTACTAAATTCTGAGTAGGTTACTCAGTATTGTATCAGAGTCGGTATCGGCGAGTACTAAAAACATCTATTCATACTTTTACAAAATCTGTAAATGTAAAAGCTACAAGAGGCATAAATGTCAAAACTCAATCAAAAACGAGGGAAGAATCCACCTCAACGATAATGCTAATTTATGCTAGCACTTCTGTGTAATTCTAGTAGTATGTTAGCACTAAGCTATAAGCGATTCCAGTGGATTGTTTGGCAGTTTTAGATTAAACACATTTGAAGAGATCTGTAACTTGTAAAACACATATATACATATATAAAGACATTAACATGTATTTATATGTGTGTGTATATATATATATATATATATATATATATATGTTATATATGTGTGTATATATATACATATATATATATATATATATATACATATATATATATGTGTGTGTGTGTGTGTGTTATGCCTTGTATCAGTTTTATATTGACTCTTTCCGTACAAAGTCCTGATATAGAGCTGCTGCCATTGTTTTCCATTTCTAACAACTGACTGAAATCTGGATAGACCACGTCATGTATTCAGTCGTATCTAGAACTTCCACAAGGTCAGAAGTGACGTTTTTCCTCACAAAGCTGTTTGATAAATCAAAATATGATCGATTCTGTCACTTCTGAATTATATTAGGACTTCAGTTCAGCTCCTGAAGTCCTAATCAGTGGGAGAGCTCACTTGGCAGAGACAAAAAAATTGGACCATTTTCTGTTGGCCGTTTTAAGAATTTAGCCTCTTTTTAAAACAAACAAAACAATGAAATAAAAGTATTACTACAATACTTGCAGAGTTTAAATACAACAAGCAAGATGATTACATTAATTAAAAATGATCTAAAAATTACAGATACGTATTTTTTTTATTTCACTCAAATCTTTAGGCCTTCTCTGCAGGCCAAAATGCCCTGAGTGTTCCCCACTGTCTAAAATAGAACTAATCAAGTCAGGTGCACCCTTCCTTCTTACTTTCAGTTCACTTTCAGATTTTTAATCTTCAGACATCTCTGAAAGTAACTGACCTTAAGCTGAAAGACGTCGACTTTAGGCCAAAACCAGAACTACTTAGAGCTCCTCCGTCCAAGACTGTAATTCTGGTCTTGTTGAGGACACTGTGTCTTTCAGACAGCTTGGCTAGACTTCCAGTCTGCCAAAGCCACTGTAGTGTCACTGTAACTGATGGATGGATGGAGCGAGTGTGTAAATGGCATTTGAAGGAGATCATATGAAGATGTTTATCAGCGCACGCACCCACGCAGTTTTACTGGTAGAATCCCTGTTGCCTGGAACGATGCATTATGCATAACACTGCAGAAAACGTGTATAAAATGTAAATGTGCTTAGAGAACGCAGCACGGATTCTAGGATGATAGACATGATGTGGGAACTGATTAATTCAGGAAACAAAGCAAATTAAACTACCCCGATTTGATAAAAACCAACAATAATGCTACATATTATCAGCGTAAAATATATTTACGTTAATTTAGTCTTTTTTCTTACCACAAATAGTGTCAGTATCTCAGCCCTAGTTTTGTGCAGTCTATCCCTCCTTAAACAAACCTATATTATGCTTAAGCAAACCACGATAGTTCATAAAATGTCAGATGAAATTCAATTAATATGCAATGAATTTCTAAAATGCATGAATAGAAGTGTTAGTGGTGAATGTCTGGCTGTTGAATGGTCAAGCTTGACTGTTATTGTACAGGACCAGTTAGTTGTTGATAATATGAATCAGGGAAAAGCAGATGATTAATCACAAAATAATACACCACAGGAAGTGTAGGTTGTGATATTTTTAGGATTGTTTCATTTAAAAAGCATTTAGTATTGCTCTATGATGTTCATATGATCCATGCGGTCATTGTGACAAATTATTATACAGTACAGGACCGGTAGGGGGCGATATTTCTTCTATTGATTAATTTAGAAAGCATTTAGTATCATTGTATAATGTTTATATGATCCATGCAATCCCTGTGACAAATTGTTATACATTACAGGAAAGGTAGGGGGCGGCATTTGCTATATGATTTCTTTAAAAAGCACCTTATAATGCTCTATAATGTTCCTATGATCCATCATGTCATTCTGACAGATTGCAATACGCTAGAAGATGTGTAGAGAATGATATTACTTCTATAGTTTCATTTAAAAAGCATTTTAAAAATGCTCTATAATGTTCATATGATCCACACAGTCATTGTGACAAATTGTTATATATTAAGGAATGGTAGGGGGCGATATTTCTTCTTTTGTTTCATTGAAAAAATCACCTTATAATGCTTTATAATGTTCCTATGATCCATCATGTCATTCCGACAGATTGCAATATACTAGAAGAAATGTAGAGAGTGATATTACTTCTACTGATTCATGTAAAAAGCACTCTGTAAAGCTCTGTAATGTTTATATGATCCATGGGGTCATTCAGTTGACATCTAGCTGCACTTCTGCAGACCAAACCCCAGACTGGACAAAACCTTAGCGTGGGCAAAAGTTAGCCAACTGGCTAGTAAACTCTCTAAGTAACTAGCTAGCTAAAGTTTGGTGAGGACATGTAATGTTAGGTTAATGTTTGTTAGCTAAATTGTTTCAGAGAAGGCACGCTAGTTACTCAATTACATAAAGTTGGGTAACTTAAAATCACTCTTTCTGTCTCTGCTGAAAAAGGTGGCCAGCATTTGTTGTTTTGAGCATATTTTTGCTGTTGACCAGCACTGGTTGTGTTGTGTTGTGTTGTGTTGTGCTAGCTAGCTAACTTTATCCCTAACCCTAACCTTAGCCATTTTATTTTGAATGAACAGTTTACACCAGCTAACATCACAAGAGGAGTAACAGACCATAACCTGAACCATAACACTTTTATTTTGAAGGAGAAATTCATACAAGCTAATGTGGCTGGGGTGCTAACATGTGTTAGTTATCTAATGCTAATGTGAGCTACCTCACCAGTACTTCAGCTAGATAGCTAGCTGGCTAACATTTGCCTAAGATTGGTCCTGCTCTGCTCAAGTGGAGGCCTTACCTCAGCCTGGGCCTTGGCCTGCAGGGCTGCAGCTGGACATTTCTGGATCATTCTGACAGATTGTAATACATTACAGGAAGCACAGGGGGCGACATTTCTTTTACTGTTTCATTTAACAAGTGCTGTTATGCTCTGTAATGTTCATATGATCCACACAATCTTTGTGACAGAATGTAATACACCACAGGAAATCTAGGGGGAGATATTTCTTGAAGTGTTTTTACAAAATATTTTATGATGTTCTGCAATGTTCATACGATTCATTCAGATGTTGTGTAGCACAGTTTGGTGAATTCCCTGCTCTCAACTCATCAGTTAATTACCAGGTTTACACAGCAGAGAAAATACCAAAATGTGCTGGACTCCAGCCTTGCATGGCCACAATTAGTGACCCTAATTAGTCACCAACCACTGGACAGTCACATCAGCTGGCATGTCCTAAAAGCTAACACCCTTCTCTGTCTGTACTTGCAGCTAGATGACGGTGCAGAAAGGAAAGAGGATGACCATCTCCATCCAGGAGCACATGGCCATCAACGTCTGCCCAGGCCCCATTCGGCCAATCAGGCAAATCTCCGCCTACTTTCCTCGCCTCTCTCCAACATCCTCCTTTTCTGATTCGCTGTCGCCCAACCAGCCGGGGTCAACGTCCCTGGCTGGAGGAGGGGCTTCAGGGGGAGGGGGGCTGCTGTCCCCTCTGTCTCCGGGGGCAACTGGAGGCGGAGGGACGCTGTCCGTCATGAGTAGCATGGACACATCGGTGGAGATCGACAGCTGTGACAGCGATGACAACAGTGAGTGTTGTACACAGTGGTCCTTCAGCCGTGCTCCCGCAGGGCTTGTCTCAGAGCACCAGCTCTAAAAGCGACTGGTTTTGTTAAGCTGTAAGACTGCGGGAGTGAGTCTCACTGCAAGTACCACACATAGAGGAGGGAGGCAGTTTCATGAATTATATATGATTAGTTCATCTCTTTAAACCAAAGCCATTCTTTGAGATAGTAATAACCTAAATATATCGCTGCTGTCGGAAGAAAACCTTGTATCTCCATTTTTGTCGTTTTTCACTTTTTGACATAAATTGGACATACCTGTTGCTCTTCACATTGTATGTAAATTTCACGATGAATGGACCAAAGGAAACGGCCCAAAATGGACTTGGAAAAAAGTCTGGTTCCACTGACTTACATTAAAAGTAAAGTAGGTTTTTTCCTTCTCCTGTAAAGTTACCATTTTGGAGATACGAGGTTTTCTTCCGACAACAGCGATACACAAAATTATCATTTATAGAGTGTTTTCTGTTGGGAGGTGTCTGTCTCAAACCTTAACCCCTAAATATACACTTGTGAAAATAATACTTGCTTTTTGCGAAAGCTTTTTAGTTTTATCATGAGTCTAATTTTTAAATGTAAAAACTTTGTTATAAAATGTTGTCCCAAGCTTTTGTCACTACCGAAACACACAGAGTTTTAGTATGTGGGCGGAGCCTTATTTAGCCACGCCCCTGTATCTTAGAGCAGGAAGTGAGACTGCATCCCTGTCCCTCATGTCCACATGGTGAGCAGTTAGATCCCATTGTTTTGAAGTAAATGTGTCCCAAAGTCTGAAAATCAGTGTGGAACATTAAAAATTGTCACTCTCAAAACACATTTTCAGCAATTAAGTAAACGTTTCTGTGTTTTAATAAAAAAAATGATGATTTTGTGTGTGTATAGCTGTTCAAAGCTGTGTTTGCTAGTCATGTGCTGGTTAGTGTTTTTGCTAAAATGAGCTAAAACTTCATTCAAGAAAATCATGCAGGACCTCCCAAATTCAATCTTGTCTCTCATATGGGAGGTCCCTTTGCTCCTATGGGAAGTCCAGGACCCCACCAGGCCCCCCTTAATTCAAATCCTGATAGTGCTATTTGGATGTAATTAGTTTTACACAGGGAGGTGGCGTGATGTAATTATTGACCGTGGAACTAACCACAACAATCTGTGTCTAGAGCTGGAACCTCTGGATTAGATGATCTATTCATTAGTGACTGCTCTTGTTCTCCGTTGCAGCGTCTTTAGGCACGCTGGAGTTTGACCTGCTCTACGAGTCAGCCACAAGTTCCTTACACTGCACCGTTCTCAGAGCCAAGGTAATCCAACAGCTCCTGATTTCTACTGCTGTCTGTTCGCAGGAATTGAGTGACCTATTAATGTTCACAATACTATTGCCATTCATTAATCCAAGATTTCTAGGGGGTTGGGGGTTATTTTGAGGTGAAAGCTGGGCTTAATGGAGTCTTCAGTGGAGAATAATCTAGTAGACCTACATGTATTTTCCATCTCAGTCTATATGTAGTTCACCTAGATCTATAGTCCATCTGATACTACAGTAAATCTCGGTCTTTAGCCCATTGTATAGTCAGTATTATGTACAGTGTATCTGGATCTACTACTATCTGTATAATCAAAGTGGATCTCCATGTATTTTCAGTTTATATAGTCCACATGGATCTATAGTTCATCTGGTTCTATAGTCAGTCTAGGTTTTTAGTCCATCTGGTTCTATAGTCCATGTAGGTCTACATTCCGTCTTGTCAAAAAAACACCTGGATCTATAATCATCCTACGTCTTAAGTTTCTGAATGTATAGTCAATCTGGGTCTTTAGCTGACTTTTTTCTATAGTAATGGGTCTATAGTCCACTTAGTTCTATAGTCAATCTAAATCTATAGTCCATCTGAATCTATATTCAGTCTAGGTCTATAGTCCACTTGGATGCATAGTCAGTCTGGGTCTATAGTACACCTGCTTCTATAGCCAGTCTGGATGTATAGTCAATTTGGGTCTAAAGTCCACCCAGATATATAGTCAATCTGGGCCTTTACTTTACCTGTTTCTGTGATTAGTGTGAGTCTAAAGTCGATCTGGTTCTATAGTCAATCTAGGTTTTTAGTCTGCCTGGTTCTATAGTAATTTTGGGTTGATTTCATTCTATATTCAATCTCGTCCACAGTAAACCTGGATCTATAGTCAATCTGTGATTTTAGTTCACTTGTTTCTTTAGATGGATTATATAACCAGGTAACTATGGAATCAGATGGGTCTATAGTTCATCTGGTTCGGTATTCAATCTTATGAATAGTACATCTGGATCTGTAGACACTCTGGGTCTTTAGTCTACCTGGATGTATAATCAAAGTGGATATACTCCATGTATTTTCATTTTCTGTAGTCCATGTGGATCTATGGTCCATCTGGTCCTATAGTCAATCTGGGTTTTTAGTCCATTTGGTTCTATAGTCAGCGTAAGTCTATATTCCATCTCGTGACACCTGACTCTATAGTGAGTCTGGATGTATAGAAAATTTGGTTCTATAGTCTATGTGATTCTACAGTCAATCTGGGCCTTTAGTTCACTTGTTTCTATAGTAATGTGTGTCTATAGTCCATGTAGTTCTATAGTCAATCTGGGCCTTTAGTTCACCTGTTTCTATAATCATTCTGAGTCAACAGTCCATCTGTTTTTGTCAGTCTGGGTCTATAGTACATCTGGCTTTATAGTCAGTATGAATGTATAGTCAATTTGGGTCTATAGTCTATGTGATTCTACAATCAATATGGGCCTTTAGATCACCTGATGTATAGTTAGTCTCTGTCTATAGTATACCTGGCTTTATAGTCAGTCTTTATATTGTAGTCAATTTGGGTCTATAGTCCACTTGGACATATAGTCAATCTGGGCCTTTAGTTTACCTGTTTCTATAGTCAGTCTGAATGTATAGTCAATTTGGGTCTATAGTCTATGTGATTCAACAATCAATCTGGGCCTTTAGTTCACCTGTTTCTATAATAGAGTTAGTCCATTTGGTTCTATTATCGACAGTCCATCTGAATCTTTATTCAGTCTAGGTCTATAGTCTACTTGGATATATAGTCAGTCTAGGTCTATAGTCCACTTGGATATATATAGTTAGCCTGGGTCTACAGTACACCTGGCTCTATAGTCAGTCTGGATGTATAGTCAATTTGGGTCTATATTCAACATGGATATGTAGTCAATCTGGGCCTTTAGTTTACCTGTTTCTATAGTCAGTGTGAGTCTATAGTCCATCTGGTTCTATAGTCAATCTGGCTCAACATTACACCTGGATCTGTCGTCAGTGTGGGTCTATAGTCCATCTGGACCTATGCTTGGTCATCTGGATGTATGGTCAGTCAAGGTCTAGTCCATGCACAAAGAGATTGGCCTTTAGAGTTTTTGTCATGGCACCTATAGCTTTCTTTCAACCAGACAACTTTCCTTAATTCCGCAATACAGGGACTGGAGTAGGTCAGGTTATATGAGGCGGTCCAAGAATAATACGTGATGACAAAACAAATGTAAACAACGAATTTGAGCCATTAAATTCAAATGGACAGTGTGGGGTCCAGAGTCTTCAGTCTAATGTGTCTGTCAGACAAGAGAAGTTTCAGCGAATCTCCATCACTTCTGAGCGCCGCCTCATTTCATCAGGACAGGGAGAGAATTTAAACGAGCAACAACCTGCCGTCTTTCAAATACGTTACAGAGGACACGTACAGTACTTGGGGACATAATTTGATCTCTGGTGCGTGAAGTCATTATGTTTTGCCACTGTGTCTGAGCCACTGGTTGATAGCTGGAGTGTTACATGTGGTCTCATATGACACCTAGGAAGTTAATAATCACTCCCTATTCACCCTCAGTGTCGGCAATGAATGTGACAGGAGATGAGCTGGATTGTTTTGCAGAGAGGCTCCATGAGGCTCTGGCACTGCTGTTTTCCAGTCATTCATTCTCCCTTGCAAAGAGGCTATTGATTCAGGGCCCCAGATGCTTTGTTCGCAGGGCGAAGCTGCAGAATCTCTTGCCATCATCTGGAATTGAGCAGTTGAAATGCTCAATTTTGACTATTTCTGATTTTACAGTAATAGTGAAGTTGTCAAAATGATGAAAACACACATAAGGAATTCTTCAGTGACCATAAAGTGTTAATCTAATCAGAACAATCATATATATTTTCAAAGATCCTTTAAGATAGCCCTCCTTTGCTGTCATGCTGCTTTGCACACTCTTGGCATTCTCTGAACAGGTTTGTGATGAGCCACCTGGGATGCTTTTCCAGCACATATGCTCAAACCACACTGGCTGAGAACAAATACTTGTTGGGGGGCATTTAAAGGAACATTTACATTTAAAATGCCTGTTTTGGGAATGAACTCATTGATAGTCATCATCATCATTGCTTATATTTGTTGTAGAAAGCATTTAAACAAGTAATCAATAAGTAATTCAGTAATCACTCGTCTGCCGCTGTGTGGTCATTACAGCCTGAGTTAATGTTATTGAGAAAGCTGAAGGAACCTCCGGACTCTCAGCATAATGATAGCCTTTATCCTCGATTTAGCCTTTAGCATAGCAGCTCACTAGCCAGGCCGGTGCATCTACTAGCCTCACCTGTGGTGCGCCTCCGTGCTGTATCACCCAGCAGTGAGGTTGCTGAACTTTACCCTCCTCTGCTGTCACTGCAGACTGGCAGGGTCGCCTACAGAGCAGCGCTAGTAGCTGTTAATGAAGTAATGCTCTTGTTTGTTATGAGGGTCCCATTTTGTAGGGAAGATTTCAACCTCAATTCCAAGGGACAAGGTGACACTCGAAAACAAGGGGTAGGGGTGAAAATAAGAAATGGGTTTGGCCCTAAATATAAGCCTTTAGATCAAAGGGTTTACTTTTTACTGTTGTAGTTGGGTTCTCTTGGTCCAGACCAAAGCAGAAAAAGACACATTCTTGTAAACGTTCTGGTTCACTTAGCGCTCACACCGACATATTTTGCGAACTGATTGGGCAGACTTTATAAAGTACATTTGGCAACAATAACTGGGGTAATGCTGCCCCCTGAATTAACTGAGCTTTTGGGATTTATGTATGTCTTGTTTTATATAAGTCTTATGATTTTCTAGAGCAGAGGGCTGCAAATCTGGACCTTGAATCCAATTTCCAGACCTGGATTTAATAATCACTGACACTAGCCTGGCTGATCACGTAGATCAATCATTCAGTTAACTATCAGTGATTACAAAATCCAGGACTGCGAACTGCATTCAAGGTTTGAAAACCTCTATTCTAGAGCAACAAGCCATCTGTACATTACTGTGGTTTTCCTAAAAAATAAGTTTCTGAATTTCACAAGTTTTATACAATGTTGGCCTCCTCAGGGGGGCTTGGTGCGCTGTTCTGGTTCACACCAGGGTTCGAATGGCAGTGTTTTCGCTTGTTCTAATGAACCAGACTAACAGAGCAGGCACACCAGGGTTCATTATAATTGAACCAAACCTGCCAAGTGTGAACACGCCCCCTTAGATTATGAAAAACCCGTTGAGTCAGATATGTTTACACTTGAGGCTGCTACTATATTTTCTCATTTATTCTTAATTGCTGTTGCAAAAGTTTGTCCTTTATGTCTCCATAACTATTCCATTACATGGTCATGATCATGTTAATTTATTCAAGGCAATTTTTACGCTTCTCTGAACCTCATAATATAATCTCCTGTCTTGTTTTTATTGATTATGTGATATGTTTATTAGTGAATGTCCTGACCCATTGAATACAGAGTGAAACTAAGTCTTCTTGTGCACATAAATAGCTCAATACTTTGTGATTTCTACAATAACAGTAGGTAATTACAGACATCTATAAAAATATGTTTAAATATGTTTGGGTTAGACTTGCCTAAACTGTCCACTCTAAGCCTGTATGTGTCTATTCAAATTATTACTTGACTTCTTACAGTAAAATTATCAAGAAATTATGGATGTTTAAGGATTGAAATTACCTAATTTTAGGCCTATCACTGTATACCTGGATAATACTCACTCTCTCACATTTAGCAGCCTGAAGATTCTCCACAAGGGGGAGCTGCCAGCTCTCAAAGCAGGGGAATTCCTACTCAAAGTAGGGGAATTCCTACTCAGAAAGTTAAGATGTTCAGCATATCAACATGACTGCTTGCACCATCCGCAGTAATCAAGCACCGCTTCTCTACTTTTAAATGAGATTATAGTATTATTTGCTTTCAATCAACACAGAGACACAGCAGATGGTTAAACCTATAACACTGATTATAACTTCTGCTATTTTCAGAATGTGAGTACATTATGGACATCAAAGTTATTGCTCAAATCACTAACGTTAGCTGGCTAGCTAGTTTCTAATAATACTCACTTTCATGGAGGCGTGCATGTCTGAGCTCTGACTGACCATTTCCTGAACACACAGAACTCACAAAGGCCTTGTTAATTAGCTGATGAGTTGAATTAGATGTTCCTAACGATGATTACCATTGACAGTAGTGACTTACAGCAGTGCATAATGACAGAATACAGTGGAACAGGAAAGAGCCGTAATATGTAGCTATTGTAACACAGAACTGAACACCAAAGAGCACCAACACTTTAATGACTCTCAATCCTTTTGGAACAATGTTCTGTGGACTGATGAGTCAAAAGTAGAACGTTTGGGAAGACAGGGGTCCCATTACATCTGACGTAAAGCTAACACAGCATTCCACACTAAAAACATAATGCCAGCAATGAAACATGGTGGTGGTCGTGTGATTGTATGGGGATATTTTGCTGCTCCACAGCGATGTGAAGGACTGATCTCTAGTGATAGGAAGCATTTGGTTACAGTTGTTGCGACTAAAAGTGGCACAACAGATCATTTAGAAGCAGCGTTTTGTGTTTCCTCATGTTGTCTTGTGTTACCTTTTGTGTAACGATCTGAACATTTGGCATGACAAATATGCAAAAACAGGAAATCATGAGGGCAAATACTTTTTCACAGTGCTTTACGCGACAATTTAGCTTTTTTGAGCTTAAGGTTCAGAGGGAGCTCTTAAGTGGTGTAGCTGTCACCCTAATGTCGGGACGTTTTACAATGTGGTGTCACAGTATGTCTGTCCGACTTTTAAACCTTCAGCAAAATATCATGATGCATACTGTGTACTTTGAAAATGTCTATATTAATATCATACTGTAGTGCCCTCCCCTAAAGACACGTGCACTCATGATGGCCTGGTTACATCCTCTCTCTCTCTTTCTCTCTCTGTCTTACAGGGTCTGAAGCCCATGGACTTTAACGGGTTGGCTGACCCTTACGTGAAGCTACACCTGCTCCCTGGAGCCTGCAAGGTTTGCTCTAATTCTTCTCTTTTCTGTGCACATTCCGCATCTTCACCCACTAAGCTAATGACCATGACAGTCTGATACTGTTATTTACATTCACAAGTCACAAGTCACCTCAGGGATAAAGAGAGAGAGAGAGAGAGAGAGAGAGAGAGAGAGAGAGAGAGAGAGAGAGTTAGTTTCTGCTCTAACGGCTAAGTACATGCATGGTTCCCCCTCAAGGAACTGTGCTGTCTTATCTTAATCCTATTTTTACAGAGGAAAAAACATGATGGCATCTTGCCAGTGGTTTTCCCTGAAACGTGGTTTAAGGCAAAGTGCTGAGTGTGACCGGTTGGGGGCTTAAATGGTGCTGGACATGCGCACCACAAACTCGGTTAACCAAGAACATTTGACTGCTTCACATTTTTGCTGATATCACTGTAATAATCTATATTTCATTGCTCTTGGAACAAAACCTCATATCTCAATTTTTGTACATTTTATTATTTTTTTACACAGTTGAAAAATGCCTGTTGCCCTTTACATTGTGTGGAAATTTCATGATGAATGGACCAATAGGATTGGTCCAAAATTGGGTTGTTGAGTTAAGAACAGGGATGTGGGAAGCGGGGGTGCTGAGGGGACCGCAGCACCCCCAGACTTCAGGATTGCAACTGATAAAAATAATAGATAATACTTGTTTTGAGCTGAGTTTTTATATAACCCCATTTTTAAAAAATTTGGGACGCTGTGCATATGTAAATAAAAATAGAATGCAATGTTGTGCAAATCATGTAAAGCATATTTTTAAAGGAAGATACTACAAAGACAACATATCAAATGTTGAAACTGAGAAATTTGATTGTTTTTTGAAAAATATATGCCCATTTTAAATTTGATGCCAACAAAATGTTCCAAAAAAGTTGGGACGGGGGCCTGTTTACCACTGTGTTTCATCACCTCTTCTTTAACAACACTCTGTAAGTGTTTGGGAACTGAGGAGACACGGCTGTAGTTTTGAAAGTGAAACATTTTCCCATTCTTGTTTGATACAGGATTTCAACAGCTTGGGGGCTCATTTGTCGCATTTTTCATTTCATAACCCTCCAAATGTTTTCAATGGGTGACAGGTCTGGACTGCAGGCAGGTCAGTTTAGCACCTGGACTCTTTTAATACAGAGCAATGCTGTTGTAATACATGTAGAATGTGGTTTTACATTGTCTTGCCGAAATAAACAAGGCTTTCCCTGAAAAAGACGTCGTCTGGATGGCAGCATATGTTGCCAAAACCTGTATATATCGTTCAGCGTACTGGCTTTTGAACTGTGCACTGATAATAAGCTGAGTGGTCTTTAGCCTGGAGGACACAGCATCCATGATTTCCAAAAAGAATTTCAAATGTTGATTTGTTGGGCCACAGAACACATTTCCACTTCACCTCAATCCATTTTCAATGAGCTCGGGCCCAGAGAAGGTGGCAGCATTTCTGGATCCTGTTTATGTACGGTTTCTTCTTTCCATTTTAGAGTTTTGACTTGCATTTGTGGATGCAGTGATGAACTGTTTTCATGAGCTGCAGTGATTTCCACTACAGAATCATGTCTGTTTTTAATGCAGTGCCGCCTGAGGGTCCAAAGATCACGGCCAGCAAATACTGGTTTTTGGCCTCGTCCCTTACATACAGAGATTTCTCCAGATTCTCTGAATCTTTTAATGATATTATGTACCGTAGGTGATGAAAAGCAAAAGTTCGTTGCTATTTTACGTTGATAAATGTTATTCTTGAATTGTTGCACCATTTGATCGTGCAGTCTTTCACAGAGTGGTGAACCCCTCCTCATCTTTACTTCTGAAAGACTCCGCCTCTCTGAGATGCTCTTTATACACAATCATGTTACTGACCTGCTGCCAATTAACCACCAGGTGTTTCTTTTAGCATTACACAACTTTACCAGCCTTTTGTCGCCCCCGTCCCAACTTTTTTGGAATGTGTTGTTGGCATCAAATTAAAAATGGGCATAATATTTTTCAAAAAACTATAAAATTTCTCAGTTTCAACATTTGATATGTTGTCTTTGTACTATTTTCAGTGAAATGTAGGGTTCAAATGATTTGCACATCATTGCATTTTGTTTTAATTTACATTTTGCAGAGCGACCCAACTTTTTTGGAAATGGGGTTGTATTTCATATATATTTTTAAAATATTTTTGTCTTCTCATAACACCCTAGTAGTCATTTCAGTAAATGAACACTGGCACCTTAAATGGTTAACTGAGCACTAGAGTACTTGCATTCAACTCTACTATCAACTCTCAATTAAAGCTATAATAACTAACTAGGCTAGCTTAGCAACTGTTTTCTAGCTAGTGCTAAAGCTTCAACCTCCAGACTCGCAGGGACGTTGACTATAGAGTCCAGTTTAAGGTCCAGTTCCAATGACAGTTTACCATTAGCCATACAATTTAGTCCAAGTTTAGGATTAGTCCATGTCTGGGAAACCGGCCCTCAGAGATTAAGGGCTTATTTCCCATTGAATTCATTACAGGATTGTATCTGAAATCTAACAAAACCCAACCAATAATTCTGACATAGCATGCATATGAATTATGCAGTGTGGCACCAGTGAACGTGCTTGTGCATATCACTCTAGTGCAGGTTAGAGGGTGTTCCTGTTAATTATTCTAAAGAGCCATGTAGCTGTCCAAGTGAGGCTTAGGGTTGAAAGATGGACATCAAGCAGGTTTCATGTTCAGGGCACTTTGCTCCTGATCTGACATGACTCTGTTCATAAACTCACAGCTAAAGGCTAACATGGCCGCTAAGCTTGACATCACCATCTTTGCAGGCCGAGTGCATGAATTAAATTACCTCAAACATAATACACCACGTGTTATTTTGGATTATTACAGGCAAAACAACATCCAGCAAACAAATGTATATTCTGTATGCTAATTAGTGATCCGATTCTTCGATTCAATTCAGTGAATCAAGCTACTTTTAGAGAGAACATTCCCAATGTCTGCATCAGCGGTTCCTACGGAGTCTAGTTCCAACCTCAATCTGCCACACAGCTTCAGCGAATTATCTTGTTCAGAGGTCATTGGTCAGAGGGGGCAGCACGTTAGATGACAGTTGGAATGAAACACTGCAGGAAGGATATCCAGGAAGAGTGTTAGTGACCACTGGTCAGCATTTTAATCAATGGGGGTTGTGGAGTGGTTATCAAGGTCATATGCAAAAGTTTGGGTACCCCTGGTCAAATTACATGTTTTCATAGTGATAAGAAGTACACTTCCTCTACACACGTCGGCCCATTTTACTGCACAATTGATATTTATTTGCTGAATTTAACGTATTGGGAATTGAGCCAGCAGGAAGGCAAGGCCTGAACTCCGAGCCCAGACTAAGCCCCACAAAGACACAGGGGAAAGGATGAAGTCCCTGAGAGAGTGGGGGATGGCTGATCCACAGTGAGGCCACTTTGATTTGTCTCACGTTCGTTCCTGGTGGACGAGCTGGAGAGTGGGGGCGGTAACAGAGGAGATGGGGCTTGGGACTTGCGCGCCGTCCCCCACTCCCTTATGGATTTCATCATCTCCAATCATCTCAGAGTTCGAGCCCTGCCTCTCACAGTCGTCATCGGGGCCCAGGGGATGGGCACATGCCACAGGAATAAACATTAAACATAAAATGTGGCATGTGCAAAACTTATGGCATAATTTATATTTTTATGTTTTATTTTCTTTCCAATATATTAAACTCAGCAAATAAATAGAGATTAGTGCATTAAAATGAGCAGAAAAATGCCACATTCAATGTGCTCCCTGTGGAGGATGTGTTAACTTGCTGTCTTGTCAAAAGTGTGATAAAATTAACTTAAAGCCAAGTACATATAGCTGCTGTTTGGTTTATTTATGATGAGCAGCACCAAACAGTACGTACTTTACATTCCGCGTGTTTAATGTAGGTTCTCATTCCACCTGGCTAGCCAGATGGGGGGCGCGGCACACCCACAATGCTTATTTAAGGCATGTGAACATGCACTCTGGAGAAAACACTACATCCCATTCCCCGTCCTTCAGGCCAAATGATAAAAAAAACAAGTAGGAGGCTTTCGGGTGTCGGTACTCTGGGCTTTGACTGACACATTTCCTGGAGTTTGTCTCATTAATATCATGCAAAAATACACTTGCATCCCACATACTCGCAACCCAATTTGATGGCCCTGGTGATATATTGGTTGCTTCCAGCACCAGGGCAACAAGTTACACTTATTGGTTGTGGCATGTCTGTCACAGTCCTGTTAGAGTTGATAATAATAAATGGGTTAGAAAGAGGTCAGTATTTCTGCTTTGGTTTGGGTTTATTCTAAATTACAGATGACTCTAGTGTAAATCTCCAGCAGTTATATCTCCATATTCTTGATTACTTTCACCTAAAATTCCCAAATGCAAAATTTAGCATAATGGGATAAAAATTATGGGTGTTTCTGCAACTACAGGCACTTGTGAGTCCAAGCGAATGTACAGTAAATAAGCAGTAACGTACAATAAACGCTAAATGTAACAAGTTCATGCAATTTGAATGAAGTGTATTGTGGCTCTCGAGAGGCACCGCACTCACAGTAGGAGAGACATTTCTTGCAAATAAGTTGTTGCTAGCTTAACATGTGCTTGCATGTTGGTTGTGCTATTCTGTGCTGGGTTGTGGGGTAGTCAGGTGGATTAGTGTCTACCATGAAGGAGAGCTCTGTGGATAGAAGTGCCCGGCTGCTGAGCAGTGGCTCTCCCTTGCTTCCTATTCAATAAAAGAGCATTCTCCTGTAAAGCACAATGTTTCCCGTAGAATATTCTTCACTGATGCTACACTGGTGTCAGAAGTGGGATAGTGCCACCCAGCAGTGTAGGGAGGAATGGTGCTTCTGAGTCCGACTGAAGCCCACGGAAGAAGAAGCAGTGCAGTGAGGACCAGCAGCAAAGACGGCGGAAAAAGAAGCACGAAGAGATGGCAAAAGAAGCAGCAGCAAGCTGCCCGCAGAGCAGCCCAGCAGCCTGCCGGCGTTGGCCCAGGCCCTCAAGCAGTGTTTCGAGCGGGTTCCAGCGGTGTGGTTGGCCCAGGTGGCTGCTTCCTGGAGAATGGATGGGCGAGCTGGCAGGGGAACCAAGTGCAATGGTTCGGCAGGCATGTCTGTGGTTCAAGAATGTGGTCCGGGAGGTGTTGGATCTGGGGCACCTCCTGGGTGCGCTGCCGCCAGAAGAGTTGCTTTCAGCACCACCTGGCCTTCAAGCCATCATAGCTGATTTTATGTGTGTAGCTGTCCAAAGCTGTGTTTGCTAGTCATGTACTGACTAGAGTTTTTGAGCTCAAAATGAGCTAAAATTGTCACCACCGAAACAGTCACTACTGAAAGTTTCAGTAGTGTTATAATTGTATTGGTAGTGACAAAATCAAATGTTCAGTCTTGTATTTTTAATATAATACACCTAATTAAGGTTTAGGGTCATTCAAAGCAAAAGAATTTCAGTCTAAAGTCCAAGTCATTTAAAATTCAAAAATGCGTTTTCAACTATGACTTTACAATCAGGCAGAATGACTCATATTAGCTATAGCTAATGTAGCAACCCATATAGTAAAAAGTATATCCTCACGGGAACAGCTCAGGGCACCACAGAACAAACGTTTTTTGTTAAGGTCCATTTTTTTATGTTGTGGGCAGCCAAAAGTGCCTGTAGTTGCAGAAACACCATGTACTGTTGTTTTTTGTATTGTACGTTTACCACGAGTCAAATACCATAAAAATTCATTAATTTCTAAAACTCTCATTCTTGATCAAATCAGTTCAAATCAAAATATATTTGTATAGCACTTTTTCACAAAGCAGCATTACAGGAGTCCAAGAACAAAGGCCTAGTGACCAAACCAAGGACGACAATGGCAAACAAAATCTCCCTACACTGTTAGAAATAAAGGTTCTGTTCAGGTTCATTTTTCGTTCATCAAGGTACAAACACTGTAAATGTTCCCTCAAAGGTTCAACGGTGGTTTTAAGGTCCAAATGTGTTTTTCCAGGTGAAAAATTCATATTTGTTCCTTTTCATAACCGAATGTTTTAAAACAGAACAATAAAATAAAAAGCAAGAGCAAGAAACACTGAGAGGAACCAAGGGGAACCCATCATCCTCTTGCAAAACAACAGATTAACCTGTGAAAACCAGTGACTAGTGTTAGAAGCCTATCAAAGACACATCTGAGAATTAAATCTGAATGAGTGCTACCCTTGAGAACATGTTAGCGTGAACTTAAAGGGGAACTAAATTAGTCATTTAATGGTTTAGCTGTAAACAAAGTCGTTCAGAGTGGTTTGGTGTGAAATGTGCCTTTCTAGGGAAGTCAACACTGTTCACCATTATAGTACTAGGAACCAGACGTCCGTATGTCTACACTACAAATGTCACCATTTTATCTGCCATTCAAAATGACCAGTGAATTTACATGTGTCTTATGAGTTTTTATGTCAATATATAAAAAAGTGCTAAATTGAAAAAAAAAAACGTTTTCTTTGGGTACTACTTTTTCCTTACAACGCCCTGCATGTACCTCTCTGCCCTGAACGAAGAAAGAAACTCCAGCAGAAACTGGAATCAAGGTAAGAAACGTTCATGAGTGAAATAAATTAGTCGTCGTTAGCCACCGTGCATGTAACACTGTTAGCCGTTAGCTTAGAACAGACTGTCTAAGTTGGCCACACTATAAAATAACTGTCTCCCTCGCTATCCTACCTCAGAAACTGGTAAGCAAAGCAGCAAGTCACTGACACCACCAATTCCCATTCGCCCGGGGTTTCTCTGCGTCTGCGCCGGCGGGTTCAGTCTCTCTCCTTTTTAGCCCTGTCTTCTTTAAACAGCTGCAACTCATTTGTGTATTCTAGTTCAAATTTATATGACTCTACGACATTTTAGAGACAGACCTCTTCAAAGTCCTCCGCATACTCTGCAATCCTTCAAAATAGGTAAGAAAACCGTAAAAATAAACTGTAAACAAAAGCCGCTGCTAGCGTTAGCCGTGCTGAACGGCTGTAGCTACAGGCTACTAACAACAAAAGCATGTTAACTTGCACACATTGATCTCAGTTGGGAATGCGGTTTTGAGAGGAAACATAGAGAAACCTTATAACAAAACAAAGTCGCAGGTATTAAGCCACACATTCCTAACCATTTCGTGTAATAACTTAACGGGGTGTAGCTTTTAGATCCATTAATTGCTTCGGACGTCAGGTTCCTACTAACATAATGGTGAAAAATTCTGACCCTGAATTTCTCTAGAAAGGCACATTTCACACCAAACCACTCTGAATGACTTTGTTCACATCTAGACCATTGAATGATTAAGTAATTTCACAAAATCGGTGGAGTTCCCCTGTAATTAAGTGTCATTTATCAATGATATGCCAATGTTTATCCACCCAGGCCAATAAGTTGAAGACCAAGATTGTGAAGAACACCCTGAATCCCGTCTGGAACGAGACTCTTACCTACTGCGGCATCACAGAGGAGGACATGTACAGAAAAACTCTCAGGTAGTCTCTCTTTCTCCTCCTCTCCCTCTTTTGACTTTCTTACTCTCCTATTATTCCTTTTGCCCACATCTGTTCTCCATTATTTGTGGTTCGTTATTCAGCCCTGCCAGAGGACACGCTTTTAGCTCATCTACAAGGTCAAGTTCAAAGCAGTGAAGCAGTTAGCGGTGTGTATTACGAGGTGGGTTCTCCCGTTAATCTCCTCCGCTAGAACAATCCTCTTTAGCTTCAGATAGCCAGCGGCTAGGGCAAGCAGCTGCTGCCGTTCCTGGGCTGCTAAAGAAAAAGAAGATTCTTCTTCTGTTGGCTGGACATCCGTTCCTCGGCAGCGATACAGATGAAGCAATGTCACACTCTTTTTCTGACTTACTCACTGCTGGTGTAGCTACTGCTGGTGCTAGCTTGGATGCTAAGACCAGTGAGAAAACAGTGTCAGCTGGACAGCCACCCCCCCCATTAATAACTTGGCATAAGAACCTGGACTCCCCTCCATGTCCAATCTTGGAGCCTGGACATTTTTTCCGATGTGGCCCAGCCAGAACCCATCAGCCATCCATGACTTCACAACAAATCTGTGATGACTTGTGGCTCTTTTGGATGGTGGCCATTAGTGAGCATGGCTGCTCATGCACCCTCGGTTTCCCACTCGGCAGTTGGGAGACGCTGCTGGAGAGGCCTTTGATCAGTGTGTCCAAGTTGCCTCCATCCAGCCCTTTCCAGTGTTGGAATGCTGGCCCTCAAAGATGCCCACTGTCCAACAATTGCCAGCCCTGGGCATGTCAAACCGGGGACCTTCCGGGCCAAAATGTATGGAGATCAGCGTTTACCCTCATCTACCACTCTGAATTCAGTTCATGAAGGTCTTGCTAATTAGCTGATGAGCTGAATCAGGTGTGTTTAATGAGGCAGTGAGCTGAAGTCTGCAGTGTTTTGGCCCACGAGGACTGGAGCCTGACACATGTGGTCTAGACTGACTCTAGAAAAGCTCTGGTGAAAAGATGCTTCACAGAAGCACAGCTTCAAACAAACAAGGCATATAGTACCTTTGAGTCTCACTGACCACTGACCTTGCCGCCCTTTCTCCTGAAAGTCAGTGCTCTGACTCATGGATAGCCAGATCACCTCCTGTTTACCCACAACTGCATAAAAAATCGGGGGATTCTGGAACCTGGTGGTTTCTGGTTGGCTATAATGCTGCGTATTTGATCATCAAAAAATGTGTGACCTTCAGCCACAGTTCCAGCTTCAACTGCGGGTGTGGCTGCTGGAACAGATGTGCTCCACTGGTGACCGCCATGATTCCTTATGTCGCTGCCAATGCTAAGGATTTCCAGGGGTAATAGTTCCTCTGAAGGACGTTTCAAGAAGTGCTTGATGAATATCAAGTGAGTGGAGTTGCTTTCTGTAATTGCTTTCCACAGTTTTTGGTGATTGTAGAATTAAACTGTGAGCTAATGCTATCGTCCTAGCACCATTTGTCAAATGAATCATAAAGCTAGCTCTCTCAGTCTTTCCACTGTGCCAGGCCTGCTGCCTGACAGGCTCTTGGGTAATATAGCTAGCATTCACAAGAAAGACCAAGCTTTATACTTTCCTAAGCATTACTGGTTTACACTATTCCTGTTCACACTATCGTGGAGCTTTACCTGGGCCTGAACTTGATCTGATCAAGTTTTGAGTCCAAACGTGACCCCACCCAAACTACATTATCAAGTTTTCAGTCCGAAACTGACCTGAGCTTTCTGTCTGAAACTGACCCGGACTGGCCTATTATCATCCAAAATAAAAACTGATATATAATGACAGCACTGGTCAAATTACCACATAATGACAATAAAAAAATTGTCATTAGATCATGAACAAATAATTTATTAAAAAGCAGAAGACAATTTGATGAAATAAAATAATCAGCTGCCCAAAATCAATCTAAAAATAAAATCATGACCACCTCCTTGTTTCTACGCTCATTGTCCATTTTATCAGCTCCACTTACTATATAGGTGCACTTTGTAGTTCTACAGTTACAGACTGTAGTCCATCTGTTTCTCTGCATACTTTGTTAGCCCCCTTTTACCCTGTTCTTCAGTGGTCAGGAACCCCCATGGACCCTCACAGAGGGTACTATTTGGGTGGTGGGTCATTCTCAGCACTGCAGTAACACTGACGTGGTGGTGGTGTGTTAGTGTGTGTTGTGCTGGTCTGAGTGGATCAGACACAGCAGTGCTGTTGGAGTTTTTAAACACCTCAGTGTCACTGCTGGACTGAGAATAGTCCACCAACCAAAAACATCCAGCCAACAGCGTCCTGTGACCGCTGATGAAGGATTAGAAGATGACCAACACAAACTGTGCAACAGCAAATGAGCTATCGTCTCTGACTTTACATCTACAAGGTGGACTGACAAGGTAGAGTGGACAGTGAGTGGACACAGTGTTTAAAGACTCCAGCAGCACTGCTGTGTCTGATCCACTCAGACCAGCACAACACACACTAACACAGCACCACCTCGTCAGTGTTACTGCAGCGCTGAGAATGATCCACCACCCAAATAGTACCTGCTCTGTGAGGGTCCATGGGGGTCCTGACCGCTGAAGAACAGGGTAAAAGGGGGCTAACAAAGTATGCAGAGAAACAGATGGACTACAGTCTGTAACTGTAGAACTACAAAGTGCACCTATATAGTAAGTGGAGCTGATAAAATGGACAATGAGCATAGAAACAAGGAGGTGGTCATAATGTTATGCCTGATCGGTGTAGAACCATGAACACTCAAAGAACCATTTGCATGATTAAAGCGTTCCTCAGATTGATGTAGAATGTGCTGTAGATGGTTCTGTATAGAACCCAAAAGCTTGACATCATAACAACAGAAGAACCCTTTTGGATGCTATAGAACCAACCTGTTCAAAAAGGTTGTGTATAAAACCACTTTCATGCACATTTTCCATCAATCTGAAGAACCTTTTAATCATGCAAAGGGTTTTTTGAGTGTTCATGGTTCTATATAGAACCATTTTCTTTACTAAAGAACGCTTGAAGAACCATCTTTTTTTAAAGGTATAGATATTTTCAGTGTAGATAAAGTTTTCATCATTATCAGTTGTTGCTGAGCCACATATGATCTCGTAATGTAAATACACGCCTGAGGACAACTTTAAAACCCCACCATTAGTACAGTTGAGAGCACAAGCAAAACAAGCTAGCTATCGAAACACTATTATTAGCTAATGGGACTCTTTTTACTTACAGGAGGTGATGTTTATCTTCACTGCATATAAAGTGTTCTCCACACAGCAACACTTCTACATGCTTAATTGGAGTTTTCTGGGGGTCCCCCGACTTTGAGCTCTGCCTTCCCGAGGTGCTGGATTAGAAATTTCTTACTCAGTCTGTTTCCAGCCTAATAGGTCTATGCTCTCTCCCACTTTTAGCACAAAATCTTTCATGGTGGTCCCTACATTCTTCTTACAAGATCAAGATGTTATCCAAGAGTTCTATTTCTTTACGTAGAAATAACGTGAGGCTATTTTTGAGCACACAAATTAAATTTTAACATCCTTTTGGCTGCATTCAACTGAATTGATTTGCTGTTTTATTTCTGTTTCATTTTCTTTACGTTCTGCTTATTTTCTCACAAGCATTGCACTATCCACCTTAGCAGAACGTGAAGCACAATCTGATATTTCACAATTTTTTTGTCAAAATTGAGAGGGGTAGCTTCACAAAACATGTCCACGATCTGCTGCAAGTTATGCTGTAAAGCTTGAAATAATAATTTTCAAAAATCAGAGGTGTCGGTCAGATTTTTCAGAACATGTCATATGTTTTTACGCATTAACGTCACATGCACAACCTCAAAAAGAAGATCAGCCTCAAAGTTTAGGCTTCAAATGCAAAATCAACATTACACTAATGAAGATTTAATGACAATAGCATATAATTAACTCATATCCATGGAAGACACGTCCTTCACCTGAGTTCTCATTGAATACTCTTTGCGCTCACAATCATTAGATTCATCCACTCGGGGAAGGGGTCTGCGTGTTATGTGCAATTACACATTTCCACCAGAGAGGTCACAAAATCACCAAAAAATCTCCATTTGCATAGCACAGGGGTCGGCGGCGCAAATGTTCAGATGAACCATTTTGTCCTTTCAACAAAAATCAAACCACCTTGGGAGCCGCAACATTTAATGTCCATTTTATTGAAGTAACGTTTTACCATCTCGGCTGTAAATATGTCTCAGTATGTGCTAATGTAGTAATATAGGCTAAAAATATAAACAAAAATGCTCTGCTTTAAGCTTTAGCTCAGCTATAGCTGCTTTTCTCGCATCTCCGGCAGGAAACTTTTCCACAACTTTTCGACTTTTACGAGGCTGTAGTCAGGTTCTCATTGGCCAGCTTCTTTTTCGAGTTTTCCCATTCCACCTTAAATGTCGCCAGAATGTAACTACTGCACCATTTAAGGTGGAACGGGACAATTTGAACAAGAAGCTGACGAATGAGAAACTTTGCTTTGTGACTTTTTAGTGTTTGACAGTTTCTCGCTGCAGATTATATGGAGTGGTTATGAACGCAAATACATCCATTCATCTCCAAATTATTGATGTTCGTCTTAAATCTTTCTCTTTGCCTTTTCATTAGCTACTAGCTAGGCTACTAGCTGTTTGCATTGCTATGGTGACCAGCAGTCTGCACACCAACCTTCAGGGTTAAAGGGTGAATTAGCAGTTCTACATTAACTCCAGAGTTTAAGACCATTTATTGTTAAACTGTGTTGAACGATCAGCAGAGCTTTATTTTACTGTAAAGGAGGATTATTTTATATTTACCTACAAATCTAATTCTAGAGCCTCAACAGGGCAGTGCAAGAGCCCCATGTTGCCGACCCCCGGCATAACTGTTGACGTCAGTAAGAAGCTACAAAGCCAGCCCTGCGTGTGGTCTTTGATGGTTCTCATTGGAGCTGTGTCACTCAGGCAGGTGTGCCCCATG